TTAACCATGTAATAATAATAATTACGTATTAATAAAGATAATGAGACATGTCTCACCTTAACATTAAAAAAAAAAAAAAATTTTTCAAAAAAAATTTCTTATTATATGTAACTTTACTATAAAATTATAATTTTTTATAATTATATATCTTTATTTAACAAAATCATATACTAGAATAATTAAAAAATAATTTTTTTTTTCTAATCAAAATTTATATTGTATATACTTAATATTATTTTATAAAGATATGTTTGGAATTTCAAGCCTTTAAAATTTAATATGCTAAATAAAATTTATTCATAACGAATTTTTTCATTGAGGAGGTTATTATTACATATTGTATGTATCGGATTAAGAATTGTATCACTTTTTTTTTATTTTTTTGGACATTCGCTTTCTAAAGAAGTGTAATCAAACGGTTATGATAACCAATTATATTTGATCCAGGCTGAATCTTAATTTTCAAATATGCAATCTCTAATAAAAAAAAATAGGTACTTCCTGAAAACGCTTTCAAGGCTTGTTCCTCACATTCAGACACAGACTCGTAGTAATTTTTGTGGGCTGGAAATACGCGACAAAATAACCCTTCATACTACCTCTTTAAGATTTAATAATAATGAAAAGTCGCGACCATCTGAGTACTCAGAGAAGCCACCTGTTTCCGACACCATTGTCCCGACTCCGATGGCATCTGCTTTTCGAAACATGTTTGATAATTCCTCAATCCGATCTTGGACTATGCTTCATCGGGTAACAAATAACGGATTTATCACGTCGGACAATGTGCACATAAGAGGGCCTGTGGTATTATTGAACGGTGAACTTTTTTTATGGGATGTTCCTCAGGGAGTTGGTAATTCAGGTGGCGTATTTGGTGGGTGGAAAGAGGATTTTCTAAAAATATTCGAAGTCATTATACCAAGGCCCGGTAAGACACTATCCTAAAATTCTTTAATTCGACGACGATGTTAATCATCTAAACCTATTTCCTACTGCCAGAGCTTTTGATCTTTGGGACAGGAAAAACCTTTATTCCAATTCCTTTGGAGGTGCGCAACTATATTTACAAATTAGGATTACAAATAGATGTCCTAGACACGGTCAGTTCAGTTGTAACTTGTGTAAATGAATGACAACGGTAAATCGTTCTACGATTGTAATCGATTGTCTTGTTTTGATCAGGATAATGCATTGGCAACCTTCAATGTATTGGCTGAGGAGGGACGAGATGTCGCCGCCGTGTTCCTACCAATTCGTCCTACGAACGCTCGGACGGGTAGGTCTTTAGTTTAGTCATTTCTTTTTTATCGGAAATGTGCGATTCAAGCAAAAGGAAAGCACGATCACGAGGGGGCACGGGTGAGAGAAAGATTGTTTAGTCAATGCGTCATATTTCTATTATTGGTTCTTACGTTAAGAAGTTTATTTCCAAACCAATACTCTTTTTAAAGTGCATACACTCCCGACATATGAGTAGTGCGAAATACATCGACTGATTAACATGTCTTTTTACCCAATAATATCTTCGACGAGGCACACTTCGGATTCGGATCATGATATCATTGCCGTTTTTCTAATGAATAAAAATATCCATCATAAATAAAAAGGCAAAAAAATATTTGGTTAATAAATCACAAGTCCAAAACTGGCCAAAATGTTACAGTTGATTTAATAAAAGATCTCCAACACGATAGGTCCTTCATTTTGCTAGTCATCTGATATCACATTCTTAAAATATTTGTTTGTTGGAATTCTTTTAGAATGTGTAATCGATTATTAATCTAACATTTTGCAGCTTCTGTATATTTTGTG